TTTGATATGGGTCCAAGTAATTTCTTCCCCACCACCTTTATGTTCAATCCGGATAGTTACCCATTTCTCATCTACCCCTGCCACTTTTGCTAACACGTCATTTATGTTGAATCCTGACAGTTACCCATTTCTCATCTACCACTGCCACTTTTGCCAACTCGTTCTTGAAAGGCAAACTCTTGATGTATTTGATGTAAATCCGATTCATTCTGATTTCTTCGTAATGCAGCAAAGTAGTATATTCTTCGATTGTGGGTACCATGTCTTCTTGGTTAAATGTGAAGCAGTTGTACCCCGAATTCTAGAATTGTACTAGGGCTCTGATTAGGGGCTCATTTGTTTTGACATAAAGTAGAAGTGCAATATCACCGTACCGCTGGCAGAAGTTCCTTTTCTGATCATTTATTCAGCTATCCCAAATGCGCTGTAGTTCTTGAACATCATTAGTTGTTCAGCGCAAAAATATATATTGTCTTTCATTCATCGGGGTGATTCTTCATTAGTTGTTTGATATGGGTCCAAGCAATTTATTCCCCACCACCTTTATGTTGAATCCGGAGAGTTACCCATTTCTCATCTACCCCTGCCTCTTTTGCCAACTCGTCCTTTATGTTGAATCCGAACAGTTACCCATTTCTCATCTACCCCTGCCACTTTTGCCAACTCGTTCATGAAAGGCAGACTCTTGATGTATTTGATGTAAATCCGATTCATTATGATTTCTTCGTAATGCAGCAAAGTAGTATATTCTTCGATTGTGGGTACCATGTCTTCTTGGTTAAATGTGAAGCAGTTGTGCCCCGAATTTCAAAATTGTACTAGGGCTCTGATTAGGGGCTCATTTGTTTTGACATAAAGTAGAAGTGCAATATCATCGTACCGCTGGCAGAACTTCATTTTTTCAGCTATCCCAAATGCTCCGTAGTTCTTGAACATCATTATGCTTTAGGCTGACAGAAGTATAGCCAACCATATCCTGATACATAATTTTCTTGCAGACTGTCTCCCTTTTCTTTATGAGTCATTTCGGACCATAGTCGTACCTCAGCATTTTTCACCTCTTGCATTACAACCCCTTTGTCCATTAATGCAGATTATTTGAGTGTAACAAACACTTTTTTGTGGATATATTGCCTCTTTTTATGATGCAAATGATAAAAAAAAACATGAAAGAAAAATCAGTTAGTAAGATAGAAATAATATAATAATAAAAGTAAAAAAACAACAAGGAAGTAAAACATCCTAGGTTTTGAAATGGAGTTTTGAGGTGAGCTCTAATTCTCTGTAGTCTCTCGGTTTAGGTTCTAAAAAAATGTAACCAAGTTCTCCTTGTTGGTGCTCCCTTGGGCTTACCAGACCCTTAGTCTTAAGTCCATTACAAGCTTATGTGGATCAAGCTAAACTCGAGAAGATACATTCACTTATGTCTATACGTTCAAGAACAACTGCCCTTACGTTGTGTGGCCCGGTACTCTTGCAGGTGCTGGTCCTCAGTTATCCTTGACTGGTTTCGAGTTAGCCTCACATGCCTCATCAACCTTAAATGTTCCACAGCCTTGGTCCAGCCGTTTTTGGGTCGAACCAATTGCAACATTTTCGATGGAAAGTTCCAATGCGCCACCGCCGACTGCGGGTCTGGTGAAATTACATGCAACGGCGCGGGTGCAATCCCTCCAGCGTCTTTGATAGAGTTCACCTTAGCACCAAACAATGGAAACGATTTTTATGATGTTAGCCTCGTCGATGGCTTTAATTTTCCTGTTTCAGTTACCCCACAGGGCGGATCGTGGAATTGCAACGCCACAGGTTGCGCCTTTGATATCAACGCAGTTTGTCTCTCGGAATTGCAGGTTAAGGGATGTGGAGGTGATGTTATCGCCTGTAAGAGCGCGTGTTTGGCGTTTAATCAGCCGCAATATTGTTGCACCGGTGCTTATAGTTTGCCGACGACATGCCAGACAACAGAATATTCCCAGTTTTTTAAGAGCAAATGTCCCAAGGCATATAGTTATGCTTATGATGATAAAACCAGTACATTTACATGCACCGGTGGAACTAATTATCTCATAACCTTTTGCCCTTGATTTGACTATGATAATAAAGTTTATAATTTTATATTCCTAAATTTGGTGATCAATTATGACCTTCCTCTAAAACATGGCAATCAAACGCACGCCAAGAAGATAAGTTATTCGAATTTAAATTTATTATGAATTTTTTGTTAGGATTGAGATCACTCCCCGGATTTATATATCAAATTTTGATATCTATACATATATGGGATAACTTAAATGATTAATTACTTTCGTTGTAGTTTTATACACTTTTTCTCATTTAAATTATCAATTAATCATAAAGTAATCACACAATGAATAAAGTTATTAACGATATAGAATCTTATATATGAAATTGAGACAAAGAACCATATATTTGACATGAATGAGATCATAAAATAATCACACACAAATGAGTAAAGCTGTCAACGATATAGAATCTTATATATGAAATTGAGACAAAGAACCATACATTTGACATGAATGAATCAAGTATAATTTATGTACCAGTATTTAACCATTGTAAAAAAGGTGTCATCCCATAAAAAAGCCCTATAAATTTATATATAAGTATTACACAATAAAAATTTTGTTATATGCACATTTTAAAACATTACGTAGCTTGTTCCATTTATGTTATCTTCATATTTTATATGATTTATTATAATAATTGAATTTTAAAAAATATGTTTATAATCGTCTTATCTAAAATTATTTCATATATATATATATATTGCATGAATTGTCAAATTGATTCGATTTAATATATATATATGCAAATTACTTTTATGGGGTATAAGTGTTATAAATTTAAGGGCTGACTATTAAAATAGTCACATTCAATTCATTTTCATTTATTTTTAATAAATACTTTTTATCACTGAAATATTAATTCATTCGTTTTGATGATACATTAATAAAAAAATAGTTTTTAACTTTTACTAAAATATTAATTTAATTCTTAAATCTAATCAAAGTTTTTCACCGCTCGCCATTAAATATTACCACTAACGGATGAATTCAAAATATTTAGTTTATTATTTCCTTTACGTCCTAAACTTAAGTACAATGTTTATTTCATAAAATAATATCTTAAATTTTATAATAATAATAATAAAACTAAAATTCTTTGATTTCCTTAGAAGTAAATATAGCATGCCTTTGTGCAGTCTCTTGCATTTAGTACCGAGCAATAGAGCAGATCATGCCCTTAGCATATCCTACTCCTTTATTTAATATGTTTAAAGAAACAAGAAGCTAATCTGAAGGAAAAACGAATGCAACAGAGAACTTACATCGGTAAATGTCAAAATCAAACATACAAAAAGTGATAGAAAGAAACAAGGTAGGTACCAACATCAAATAAATCTAACCAGTTACTGTATAAACAAATCTAAACAAAAAGTGATTTGTTTTATGATGTCAAAACCATACATACAAAAGGGAATGTAACCTCTCTTGTATAATTTTGTAATGCAACAGTATAATTTAAGGTTTATTTAATATAATTTCAAAATATTATCATATTCAATCTAAAAGGTTATATAAATTTGTAATATTTTTTGTTGTAGCCGAAAAATTTTATCGTGAGAGGTTTAGAACTTACAACTGAAAATATTGTGAAAAATATAACATTTTTAATTGCAATTAAAATTTCACTCTATCAAACTTAAAAAATTACACTCTTGATAAGATTTTTAATTACAATCGATTTGTGACTTTTTTAACATCATACTAACAAATTATATTTTAAAATCTCCCTTTTCTGTTGCATTTGTTTTTCTTCGTATTAGCATATTGTCCTGGCCTAGCAACTACCAATATTGATTATCTTTTATTTCCTCCCTAACGATGTCCTAAGTTTATATTTCCTAAGCAAACATTTGTCAACAATTAAAATATATTAATTATATGGTCAAATTTATTAAAAAAAAAAGTTAGGCACCGGCTATAATTGAAATTAAGCACTACAAGGGACTAATTTAACGAGTTAAAACAAGATTAATGAAATATTATCAATGTTGTCATTTTAGCGACCATAAGTTTATAACAATATTCCATTTATTTGAATTAGTTTTCTTTTTCTTTTTTTGAATAGAAATTAAATTAATGGCATCATATTAATTTCTTAGACAATCATAAGAAGGGTTATAAACGTTCCGACGAAGGATATTTAATAAAGAGGGAAGAAAAGAGTAAAAAATAATTAGTTTTGTCTTTGATTTTATATAAATTCAATTCAGTGTGTGGATGAGATGGATGGTTTGACTTAGACTCAAAGACATTTATTAATTGGAAATTTTTATTATTTTAAAAATATAAAATTTTAAGTTGAATGATCAATATTTAATATATAAATCATATTAAATATGAGTTTATTTTTAATTATTTAATTTAAATATTATATAAAATTATGAAAAGATAAAAAAATATCATTATAGTATTTAATTTTCGATCGAATTAATGTTCGATGACCAACGATATTAATTCAATAAAATTTAAAAAAATTGTTTTAATAATTTTTAATAATAATTTTATTAATAATATAAAATACATCATTATAATAATACTATATTAATATTTAAAGAAGTACTTTTAGTAAAATTTTAACTGCATTGACATTCGATTAATTAATGATATCAACTCAATTAAATATTTTTTGAATATTATAAAATAATATATGTTCATAATTTTTTTACACACCATATAAACGCAGCTGCTCGAACTCAAAATTTCTACGAAGAACAACATTTTTAATCAGTGAGACCACTTAATTGGTTCAACTCAAATATATATCTATATATAAATAGATAGGTAAATAAAGCTTAACTTTCAACATAGTTTATGTTCTTATCCGATTAATTGACAAATAATTAAGTTAAACAAGTTGAGCCCGTACTTAATCTTATATAAACAAGCGTCTGCGTACCATAACTACAACAAAAAAGCAATTTATGATATATAATTATATTCACACGATGAAGCTTTACTCGCTCTTTGGTCTTTCCTTTGCCAGACTCTTTTCAGGTAATAAACAAAACCTTCTCTCTAACTACATTTGGGTAACTTTGTGATGCGTAAACGTATTTTCCTTTGTATCGTATCATATTTATTACTTTTATCCTGTTTTAGAATATAATATATATTTTTAATAAAATTTCAAGTTTTTTTTAAAAAAAAAAATTGAAATAGGTCATGGATTAAGTGCTAAACAAAATTCCATTTAATTTATTTATTAATTTTATTAATATGTTTGATTCACATAATATTATTGAGATATGTAAAGTTGCCTTAATTTTAATATAATTAATCTTTAAAACCCTTTATATAAAAGAAAAGTTGTGCCCAAAAAAATGTAATGGCCTTTTTTCCGTTTAACTTTGTGGTTCTTTCACAACGATAATGCATGGATCACATGCAGGGGCTCAAATGGTAACCATAACCGTCAAAAACAACTGCGCATTCACTATCTGGCCGGCAACCCTTACCGGCGGCGGTGGAGCTCAGTTGCCAAACACTGGATTCGAGTTACCATCCCAAGAAAAAGAGCCCATTGAAGTTCCAGCAACATGGACAGCTGGCGTCATCTGGGCTCGAACCCAATGCTCTGGAAGTTTCACTTGCGCCACTGGAGACTGTGGGTCGGGCGAGGTCGCTTGCAATGGTGCCGGTCCAAAGCCACCTGCAACCCTGGCAGAGTTCACTTTAGGCGCAAACGATGGACAAGATACCTTTGATGTCAGCCTCGTAAATGGCTTTAACTTGCCGGTTTCAATAGCCCCACAAGGCGGCTCCGGTCCGATTTGCACCACAACGAGCTGTGCGGCAGACGTGAACGCAGTTTGCCCGCCGGATCTGGTTGTTCCAGGATCTGATGGGAATACCATCGCTTGCAACAGCACTTGCGACGTTTTCGGTAATCCTGAGTTCTGTTGCACTGGAGATTTTGACTCAGCCGAGACATGTGAGCCGTCGGAGTTCTCGATGGTCTTCAAAGAACAGTGCCCTCAGGCTTATAGTTATGCTTTTGATGATGAAACTAGCACTTTCGTCTGCAGTGGCGGACCTGATTATCTTGTCACCTTTTGTCCATGATTATCGCCTGCAATACGGCAGGTTTTACTTACAGTTTTAAATAAATAAAAAACCATTACTGCTGGTTTTAGTTTTACACTGAGATATGATGAAGGAGAAATGGAATTAATGGATGAAAAATCAGGTTTAACTAATTCAATATATTTCCATCGGTTTGGTTGATTCTTCTGAATTCCCAGCTCTATTTGCAAAGATAGCTTGACCTCACGGCCTCACCTCAATAATTGGCTTTCCTTGTATATATTTCTTATTCTTTACTGCACAAGTTGTCCACAATTCTAACAATGCCAAAATTATTATTTCAGTTCGACACGCTGTGCAAAGATGATAGTTGTTGCAGCAGTTTCGATTCCTCTATTTTCAGAGGATAATCCTTTCACCGCGGACGCTTCAAGTTGCAAGGCGGGGGCTTCAATTTGGTTTAGATACCGGTTTCTAATCTATCATTTTTTTAAGGTGACTGACGATTAGGGGTGTTAACTAAGTTGAATAGGTCGTGACTAGTTTAAATTTGATTCGGTCAAATCTTGATTTAAGTTGACTTAATTTGAATTTAAATTCTACTCGAAGTTTTAACTAGTTGAGCCGATTAAAATTTAACTCAATTTGATGAGTTGATGTATGTGGATTCTTACTTTGATTGTGATTTATTAATTTGATTTATTTGTAGAATGCTACTTTAAAATTTAAAATAGTTACTTTACACAGTATTTTGATCATCTTTTGCCAAATTTATTGAATTATATTTCTGCTATGTTTTATATAATATTATTATATTTTACATATATTTTAAAAAAATTGTAAAAGTTTTGAGGAGCTTAACCTTAACAAACACAAATTGAACAAAATTTTATCAAACTTAATAAACAACGAATCAAGTTGAGCACGAATCAAACAATTTTCGAGTCACTTTGAATACTGCTCAACTCATGCTCGAATTAGTCGATAAGCATCCCTACCAACGACTCAAGATAGACGGTTGAACGCATGTCGTTAAAAGAGTATGAAGTAACTATAAAGAATATTATATATGTTTGGAATTTTTCTTAACCATTGACAACACATATATATCATGCATACTCAGTTGCTCAAACTCATAATATTTAGGAGAATAACACTCATTTTAACCGCTGAATTTATTTAATGAGTTTACTTCCATTAAATATTTAATGTTATTGTTGTAGACCAAAACAAATTAAAAAAAAACTATAATAAAAGATAAATCACACATAATTTGTATAGAATGACTGTCGAAATTGAGTGTCTAAGGGTCCTAAACCGTATCCTTTACCAACTTTACAAAAATCATATTAATAATTAAAATTTTATTTATTATTATTAAATTTTAATTTTATTAATATTATTATTCTTGTAATACTTTTCAAAAATAAAAATTAGATTTTCCTTAAATAAAAAGGAAATGTACAATAATGATAACACAAATCAATGTGGAAATCTAAAGGGGTAAAGAATAAAAAAAAATTCCCTTGAATACATGTTAATGGATTAAAATCCATAATTGGGGTACATGTGTATAATGTACAATATTATGATAAAGTATGACACAAAATTAAGTGACTAATTATGTTACATGTGAGGGTGCAACTACAAAGGTGAAGTTGAGAGCTTGATGTCTCTAGATTGAGGATTAGGATTTATAGATTAGAAAATTTTATTTATTTTTATTTTTAATTCTACATGAAAAAAATATTGATAAAATATGCTATGCCATAGGAAAATATTAATCAAATAAGCGATGTTATCCTAGAGTAACTAAAATAATAGCAATTTTAAAGTTAATTGATTAAAATAAAAATAGTTAAATTTTAGTAACCAAAATATGAGTGAGAAGAGAGTAGAGTGATGAGCGATGTAATTTACCCATGAATAAAATAAATGTACTAACCAACTTAGGTAGGATCAAAATTCAGTTAATATAATCCAGAAAGACGGCCTTACACTGGTACGTTTATGGAACAAAATTAAATGCTTTGTTATGGTATAACCATATACGAACTTCCTATATGTATTATATAACAAATGCTTCTCATTGCAAGCCAATCCACAATCACAAGAGCGAAAAGCAAAGCAACAAATTGCCATGCCTTCCAAATCCTCTGAGCTTCACTTCGTTTTAATACCCTTGTTTTTCCCAGGCCACCAAATACCAATGGTGGACATGGGGAGGCTATTGGCTCAACGTAGTGTCACCGTCACTATAGTCACCACACCTCTTAATGCTATCAGGTTCAGGACCATTATTGATAACCATAAAGCTTCCGGAAGCCAAATCCGACTTCTCCAACTTTGATTTCCATGCACCGAGGCCGGCTTACCCGAACGCTGTGAGAGCATAGATGCTCTCCCATCACGTCTTCTAACCAGAAACTTTATGGAAGCCATCGGCATGTTGCAGCAACCCATTGAGCAGTTCGTGGTAGAGATGAAACTAAAACCGAATTGCATAATATCCGATAGAAATCTCCCGTGGACGTTCGACATGGCTCAAAAGTTTGATATCCCGAGGCTTGCTTTCGACGGCACAAGCTGTTTCACCGTCGTTTGCTCGCACTTCATCACCCTTTCTAAGATTCACGAGACGGTTTCCAACAATCGACAGCCATTTGTGGTGCCCGGTTTACCGGATAGGATCAAACTAACGAAATCGCAGCTGCCTGCCGAGTTCAATCCAGGACTTTTAGCTTCCAAACACTTAAAAGAACACACAAACACTTGAAAGAACACATGAGAGTTGCAGACATGGGATCATACGGTTTGGTGGTTAATTCAATTCAAGAAGTGGAAGCAAAATACGGTGAAGCATATAAAAAAAAGCAAAAGGTGACAAGATATGGTGTATTGTGCCATTGTCAAATTGCAACAAAAGGAAACCAGATATGGCACAGAGGGGAAACGACGTAGTTTCAATTAATGAAACCCGATGATTGGAATGACTTGATTCATGGCCTGAAAACTCAGTATTGTATGCTTGCCTTGGAACACTAATTTGTGTTGAACCCATACAACTTATTGAATTAGCCATTGCCTTAGAATCATCAAAGAGGCCATTCATATGGGTCGTAAGAGAAGGATACAAATCAAATGAGTAGAAGAAATGGGTGTGCCAAGAAAAATTTGAAGAGAGAATCAAAGGAAAAGGTCTCTTAATCCCTGGATAGGCACCACAACTTTCAATATTATCTCATAAGGCAATAGGTGAGTTTTTGATACATTGCGGATGGAATTCAGTGCTCGAAGGGATATCGGCCGGTTTGCCGATGATAACGTGGCCGTTGGCCGAGCAATTCTTCAATAAAAAGCTTGTGGTTTCTGTGTTGAGAATTGGGGGAAAAGGTGGGTTCAGAGATTGGGATGAAATGAGGAGAGGAAGAGAAGTATGGGGTAATGGTGAAGAAAGAACAAATTGTGGAGGCCATTGATAAGGTAATGGATGGGGAAATGATGAGCAAAAGAGGAATGGAGATGGGGTGTTGGCAAATAAGGCATTTGCAAACAGTGGATCGTCTTATCTTAATGTCAAGCGATTAATCGAAGATATTAAACAAATTCATGGGAAGAAATTAGCAGAGGAATAACGTTTTGGTTTATATCAAATTCAAACAAATTGGCTTTTTCTTGTATTGAACACAGATGAATGTTAGCTTGGATGAAAATATAAATTGTTACTGGTTAGCCTTGCTGCAAAAATCAAAGTATACAAAAATTGAAGTATAAAGTAATAAGTACAAGTTTATTAGATTATAATTCAATTTCTAATGAGTACCATTTAAACAATTAATTTACTAAAATTTCTTAAATACTAATTAAACTATTTTTACAATTTAACTAGTTCTAATAAACTTATTAATTTTAAAAAATCACTAGTGAAGAATTCTAGTCTAACCCAATTAACTCAACACACATGCCAGAACCCAAAGCCCGCCTTCGAATAAAGAAACAGAGAACCCGTACCTCTTACAATTATACGAATATAAACATGCCAATATTATATATATTAACGCTTCAAACACAAGCACCAGAAAAGAAAAGAAAAAAATATCATAAACATGACATAAATACACGCAATATCTATAATTTTCTCTTTTGGGAAGCAAGTTTCACGCGAAAAGGGATGAGACAGCCACGGTAATTACACAGCAAGTTCCATGTATATGGGTACACTATCAAAACTAGCAAACCTCGAAAGACTTGATACAAAAGCAAGACTAGCCACCATGAAGCGGACTAACACGATAAACATGCAAGTCCTATGTCTCTATCGCCATCATCCACCTCGAGTTGGTAGATATGTACTAAGCGAAACAAGGAACTGTAGCCCTAATGGACTTACTAAAATTATCCGAGAAATCAGATACGAACGTAATAACCGCTGATATCTATTAACTATTCAATCAAATTCAAGTTTTGTCCCAGGCTGTTTTCTTTAATAGCGGACAAGAAAATTTTAACAGCATTTCACATTGGAACTCCTTCCAGTTCTTCACAAATGGAGCTCACTTCTTGATCTTTGACCTTGAACTGGCAGAGAACAACACATTTATGTACATCTATATCTATGTCCACTCACGAATCAAATAAAAAGGAAATGCATAGATGCACCTCATTCGGCTTCAAAACATAGCTCTCCCTTACGCCGCTCTGTTATACAACTCTACCGGCTCCATATTAATAATATCTTGAAAGGGAGGAACTTCTTTTTGTAGCATTGAAGTTCCTTGGAAAATAACCATCTGGCAGCAGGATCTTTTATATTCCCTAAGCTGAAGCAAGAGAAAGACGTTTCAGAAAACATGGCAATTAAGTTGGACAACACGATATACACACAAATTATGATGTATCGACAAACCTGGTCCAGTCCTAATTTCTTGAAGCCAAATTTATCTATCCAGATTGATTCTGCTTCTTCGGCAGCCGGAAGCAAAATGTTTTTGACGTTCAAGAGTGCGAGCAGCTTCTCAATACAAGTGAACAATAACTGGAAGTAGCCCTACAAGGTAATTTAACTAC